ATAGAAAAGATACATAGTATATGAAAAAAAATCTCTTTCAAATAATTGAAGCCAATTATACGAAATAAATAAGGTAAAACTTTTTTTTTTTTTACCCGCGTCCTTTCCGCTCCCACAGCTACGTGTAACCCCTCTGTGATTGGTCGAGACGATTGGTCACGTGCACCAGTCGCAGAAACGGCGGCGATCTACCAATTAATCTCTGTCGTCTGTCTCCGGCTGTGCTCTATCTCCTTTCTCATAGGAACACAGTCGTGATCACCGCACGGGAAAACGGTGACGCCGGGGCCAAATGTAGGCTCCGATTAAACTCCCAGACAAACAATGTTTTGCTTTCATTTTTTTCCCTCCCTTTCTTTTTCTGTTTGTTGGTTTATTTTTTGCATTATTTTTGTTTTTGTCTTTTATAGTGTGCTGTTTTATTTGGGTATTTTGCTGAGTGCTCTGAGGTGGTCTGTACTTCTATTATAGTATTAATAGGCTATCTTGTTTTTGTCTGAGGTACTTTCGTACGAAACTAAATCCAGGTACAATGAAATGTGCATCGTACCTATTACTAAACGTTAAAAGCTCTAAGTTCTTTTAGTGCGTTCGGCTGGAATGCCGACTTCCTTATGATGTATCATATTATAATTTATATTATGTTTAGTACACATAAATATATTCTTTATAATATGTAGACACATGCCAAAATACGATCACACACACACACACACACACACACACACACACACACACACACACAAACATTGGTCTACCATACTCGTATAATAATAATAATAGATGGCGTTTACATAGCGCAAATCCCCGCTCAACAGCAAACTCTTTGCGCTTCACAATCTATAGCCTACTGTTACCCCAGCTGACCCGAGAGCATTCTGAAACAACCTCAACTTCCCGGGAAGCATACAGTGTAAGCTGCCATTTATAGGCGCTAAAACACTAATATACTGACAAGATCTTTCGCTGTCAATGGCCAGGTACCCATTCCCATCTGGGTGAAGTGGGGAAATTCGTGTACAGTGCCTTTCCCAAGGAAACAAGGTCGGGCTCGCAGCTCGAACACCCGAGCCCACAACCTCACGATTACGAGTCCGGTTGTCTAACCACTAATATTATATATATTTATAGCATATTATGCGTGTGTGGATGTGTGTGTGTGTGTGTGTGTTTGAGTGTGTGCGTGTGTGTGCGTGTGTGTGTGTGTGTGTGTATGTGTGTGT